TAGATAAAGGCCCAGTACATTAACCATTTCTTTTTGAGTAAGCAATGAAATTAAAATGTTTCAAAATACCCATTTCATCAAAGTTTCAAAAATTGTCATTTATTTATTTATTTATTTATTTATTTATTTATTTATTTATTTATTTATGTGTGTATGTGCAAATGTGTAGAAACTAGAAAACTAGAGGGAGTTTGTTCTCTCTATTCACCATGCGGGTCTCTCACACTGAACTCAGGTCATCAGGCTTGGCAGCAAGCACCTTTGCTATCTCGCTAGTCCTAAGTTGCAAACGTCTTGCCACAAAGTTGCTCTATATATTCTTCCTTATTTTGTTATGTATGTGCTCTGAAATGGTATCACCAATATGTTGTTGACATTTATAGTTTTCCTCTTGGTTTTGGTCATTCTGACTCATGATTGTTGATTTTTGTAATGTTTTTCTGTTACTTACGTATAATCTATTTTTACTTATGTATAATTTGTTTATTTTATTTTGATTATTGTTTCATTTGCTCTTCTTCAGTTTCCTGCAGTAGCAGCTGAAGCCGTTGATTTAAAATATTTTTTCTAAAATATATACATAATATTATAATTTCTTCCTCAAATTTATTTAGCTGTATCCCAAAAATTCTATGCTGATTTTTTTTTATTTTTATTTACTTAAAATATTAAACTCTTGCGCTGTCTTCTTGATCTCATTATTTGCAACTATGTCATTTAGCTTCCAAACATTTTGAATACTTTCAAGGATTTTGCTACTTGTTGATTTCCCTATGGTCAGAGATTGTATCTTGTATGAATTAAATCCTTTTAATTATTTGACATATCTTCTGTAACTCAGTGTACTCTACTAAGTCCATGTTCCATGTGCATTAGGAGAAAATTCTTGTGTGTGCTGCTTCGGAAAGCATGCTCATAGTGGGAAGTTAGACCCACAGTTTAAGTCCACTAAATCCTTAGTGTGTTCTACAAATTACTAATGGAATGCTACTGTATGCTTTGTTATATTTGTTTAATTGTCTATTTTCCTTTCCAGTTCTATCAAGCTTCACATATTCTAATATTCCATTAAGTTTAAAATAATTACATAATATTAAAGGATGACATATCATTGTTAGATAGACATTATCCTAATGATGTTGTTTATTAAATGTTGTGTTGATATCAACATAGTCAGTGCATTTCAGTTTTCTTTTGATTACTTTAGCTGGAATATTATTTGCAGCTTTCCATTCAATGTTCATTTTTAAAGATCTATTTTTATTTTTATTACACATACGAGTGCGCATCTGCGTGCATGAATGCCACATATGATGCCTACGTCTAGGGGGTGTCAGAATGCTCGGAACAGTAATTATAGTTCTCTGTAAGCTACTAAACGTGAGGCATGGGAACCAAGCTCTGATGTGTACTGTTAACCAATGAGCTCTCTAGCCCCACAAATTTCCACTTTTAACCTGTCTGTATCTTCACATTTAAGTTGTGTTACTCACAGGCAGTATATGCTTGGGTTTTTTTTTTTTTCCTTTTTCTGTAGAGAGCCGCTTGGGCATGCCCGGGCAAAACGCCATTACAAGATGGCGCCGACATCAGGCTCTGATCCTGGAAGACAAGTAATATTACGCATGCGCAAGGGCAAAAGCGCGCCAAGTCTTGGCCCAGCCCAGGGCGTCTTGTGAGGTAATGAGTAAGCAGCCAATCATAGACCACACGCCGCCTTAGGGTGTATATAAGCAGTGCCATTCCTGGGCTCGGGGTCTTCCTCCTCTCATCGCTTGACTGCAATAAAGCTTGCTGCAGAAGAATCCTGTTGTCCGTGTGCGTTCTTGCTGGTGAGACGACCACGCGGGTTGCAACATTTTTCTAAATTAAAAAAATATCAAATACTTCCTTCACCTGTCTGCTTGTATTTTCCTCTTTTTCTTTTAGTTCCTTCAACTCTGTCTCTTTTATTTCTTTCAGTGATTTAATTATTTCTTCTCTGAAGGCCACAAGCTGTTTGGCTGCATCTTCCCGTATTTCTTCACAGATGGCCCTAATCTGCTTGTCTTTATCTTCCTCCATTTCTTTACGGATAGCCATGATCTGTTTGGTTTTATCTTCCTCTAATTCTTTACGTATTTTATTTGTTTCCTCTATTATTCTCTTCATCAACACAGATGTAAGGTCATCTTCTTGATTTTCTATTATGCTGCATTGTTCAGGGCTGTTTGCCCCTGGATGGCTGGGTTCTGGAGATGCCATATTCCTCTGTCTTTTGTTGGCTGAGCCTTTACGCTGACCTCTACCCATTGGGCTGATTTAGGTGTTGCCTGTTAGTTTCTGTGCTTCCTGGAGTCCTGAGGTAGGGAGTATCCCTTTGGCCGGAAGATGATTTTTCCTGAAGGAGTCCTTCTCTGCTTTTTGGTTATGGTCACTGTATGGCCAGTGTTTCTCAGGAGTTGCCACTGCTCACCTCAGGTTTATAGCCCTGAGTAGTAGCTGTGGTCTATGTTAGGCAGGGGGGGATTTCCTCTTACCCATAGAATTTTCAAGACAGCTGCCCCACTGCTGGGTTTCTTGTTATAAATTTAGTGTGCTGCTGCTCACTAAATTTCCATGTACAGTCCTCTTGAAGAAACTGCTAATTCCCTAGCTGTGGGGTTTTCTCCCAATAGGGAAACTCAGTCTGTTATCCTGGGGCGCATAGTTCTGTCTGGGAAAGTGGGAGGTGCACTCAGCAAGTCTCTGGGTCAGAAGCTGATTGCTCCACTCTGGACCTGGAGAATGTGCACCTAGGTTGAGTTGGTGCCTGGGGACGCTGCTCTGGTCTGGAGGCTGGGTGCCTCACTCTGGACCAGAAGCTGTGTGTCTCTGTCTGGGATGGCGGCTGCAGGCACTGCTCTGGTCCAGACGCTGTGGGTGCAGCCCCCCTGAAGGACCAGGGATTCCCACAGTTTTGACAGTCCAGCCAGGGACAACTGACCAATCCCTGGGAACAGAGACTATCTCTGACATAATCTGATTGGCCTGCTCGTTGATCACTTCCCCCTGAGGGGGGAGCAGCCTAACCAGGCCACAGTAGAGGACAATGCAGCCACTTTTGATGAAAACTGATAGACTAAGATCAGAAAGGAGAGGAGAACCTCCCCTATCAGTGGACTTGGGGAGTGGCATGCATGCAGAAAGGGGAGGGAGGGTGGGATCGGCAGGGGAGGAGGGAAGGGCTATGGGGGGATACAAAATGAATAAAGTGTAATTAATAAAAAATTAAAAATATCAAATAATACATAATGTCATTACATATTTATTTAAGTCTAAAGTCAACTGACTATTTTCTTATTATTTCATATGTTTTTTTCTGATTTTCTTCTTTGTTTTTATTTGAAGTAATCATGTTTATATTTTATTTCCTTTTGGTCTTATCAACTGCGTGTCTATTGCATTTCCTTTTTCAACTTTTTATTGGTTCTTTGTGAATTTCACATCATGTACCCCAATCCCACTCATCTTCCCTTCCCCTCATACTTGCCCTCCATCCTTGCAACCCCCTCCCCAACAAAAAAAAAATCTCATTATGGAAGCTGTAGTATGCCAGTGTGCCCCATGGTGTACCTTTTTGTCTACAATTCTTTGCTTGAAAATGTTCATTGTAGTGACTCATTGATCTGGCATAGGGCCTCTGGCTTCTGCTACTGTGTGGATATAACTTCACTGGACTCCTCTCAGATATCCTGTTGTTGCCCTGTGTCATAGAGATCTTGTAGTTTTGAATCTGTAGGGCCAGCTACTTCATGCACTTCAATTCATCGGTGAAGGAGGTGTTGGGGTGGGCCCATTCAAAGCCTTGAATCAGGGCCTGAGGGGTATCTGTGTTGGTCAGCCCATTGGCTCTCCTGCTCTCCAGCAACCCCCACTACCAGGGCCAGCTGTACCCTGCTGCCCTGAGGAGGTGTGCAGGGCCTGCTCTCTCAATCACCATAGGTGGTGAGGGACAAGGCCAGCTCTCCTGCTTTCATAAACCCAGGGCCATATCTCCCACCTACAGTAGGTGGTGAGAGGTGAGGGAAGAAGAGAATATCCCCCCCTGGTCCACACCATCCCACGGGAGACAAATGTTAGGGCAAGGTCTCCTAGGATCATACCCTTGAGGGCCAGCTCACCAGCAACTCCTGCAATGTGTGGGAGTTCACTCCATTGAGTACTGTGGCTGGATAGGGGTGGGGTCAGCTCTCCTGCTCTCATGTCCCCAGGGACGTCTCTCCCAGGATGCCCAGATCCAGATGAAGGTTGGGGCTAGTTCTACATAGCCCTCACACATCAGTATATCCCAGGCCAAACTGGGATCATCCTCATGGCCTTTGGTCGTAAGAGACTCTTGCTGCTGTAGGACCACAGACCCAGATTTGGCCCCTGGCGGCAGCACAGGACAGGACACCACCATAGTCCGGAGTGACACCACAGGCTACTCGCATGAGGCTGTTCCTCATTACCCTAGAGTCTCCAGTTCTGCCTCACTTCATTGTGCCCACATCCTTCTGTATCTCTTTCTCTTACAATTCTCCACCACTTACTTGCTCCTCTTAGTGATTCCTAGGGTCTCTGAGTGTCTAGGGTCATCTCAGGAGTGGTCTCAGGAGCGCTATGCCCTGCTCATGCATTATGGCACAGAGCAGAGGCCATCTCTGGCATGGTCTGTGACTGCCCCCCCCCCAAGTCCTGCATGGCACCCAACTGGTGATTGTGTCAGGCTAGCTCCTTGTCTGGGTCCCATGGCGCCAGTCATGGTCATCTAGGGCTTGCTCCTTGCCAAGACCACTTGAGTGGCCCCATGCACAGGTCATGTCTCAGGCTCATTCCTTCAGGGAGTCCTTCAGTGCCAGGTGAGGTTCTTCTAAGTCTCTGGCTTGCTCCTACCAGACTTGTGGTTTTCTTAGGCTGTGTCCTTGTCTGAGACCCCTGGTGCCGATCTGGTGGTTGTTTTTTTGGTTTTTTTTTTTGTTTGTTTGTTTTTTTCAGAGAATTCTAAGGTACTAACGATTCAAATGTTCACAGGTCAGAATACTGAGAGTGGACATACCCCCTCACCTCTGTGGGACCTACTGATACACCTGTGACACAGCAGCCACACCTGCGAGGCTTCCAGTCTTATGTTTCTTTAATGCTTGCTTTACAGTCTGTGCTAGAAAGCTCTGTCTTTGAATGAAGTTTTAAATCTCTATATAGTATTTGGAACTCATGGTAGCCCATTATTCTTGTTCTGTGTATTGCATGAATCCCACAGTAGATTATTTTAATCCAAACAGAAATTCTTTAAATTAGCTATTAGTAAAAATGTTTTTAGTTATCTGGAGAGGTTCTTTTCTTTCGGTTTTATCCATATTTACTTCCAGAACAATTTTTAGTGGCCAGAAAGATTATAAGAGCCAGAGGTCTGCTATGAAACAGAGGCTTTTATAAATGACAGGAAAGCTGCTCCTATGAAATCTTACTAATATGGTCACCTAAATAAGACCTGCACAACAATAACACCAATTGAGAGTCTGTTCCTTAATTCTTGAAGACTTTCCTTCAATCTCTTTTGCCAAAGGTCACTTTTTAATTATCATTTATTAAAATTTATTCCATTTATATCTTGGCTGTGGCCCCCTCTCTTGTCCCCTCCCAATCTTACCCTCCCTCCCTCTTTGTCCCCTATGCCCCTCCCCTAGTCCACTGATAGGTGAGGTCTTCCCTTCCCTTTGACCCTAGCCTATCAGGTCTCATCAAGCCTGGTTGCATTGTCTTCTTCTGTGGCCTGGCAAGGCTGCACCTCCCCAAGGATTGATGGTCAAAGAGCTAGCCACTGAGTTCATGTCAGAGACAGTCCCTGTTCCCTTTACTAGGGACCCCACTTGGAGACAGTGTCTCTGGGCTACAACTGAGTTGAGGTTGTAGGTCCTCTCCATGTATTGTCTTCGGTTGGGGCATCAGTCTCTGCAGAGCCCTCAGGGCTCAGTTTTTATGGCTCTGTTGGTTTCCTTTTGGAGCTAGTATCCCCTCCAGGTCTTTCTATCTCCTTCTTTCAGTAGAATCTTTCAGAGGCCATCTGTGTTAGGCTCCTGTCCTGTTCCTTGTCTTCTCCTGCTTCCGATAGCTGTTGTGTTTGTCCTTCTGAATGAGGATTGAGCATCCTCCATAGGGTCTTCCTGTTGATTGGCTTCTTTAGGAGGATAGATTTTAGCATTTTTATCCTATATTATATGTCTAATATCCACTTATAAGTAAGTATATACCATGTATGCTGAATAGGATGTGGAGAAAGGGGAACCCTCCATCACTGGTGGAAATGTAAACTTGTACAACCACTTTGGAAATCAATCTGGTGCTTTCTCAGAAAATTAGGAATAGTGCTTCCTCAAGATCCAGCTATACTACTCCTAGGAAAATATGCTCAACTATACAACAAGGACATTTGCTCAACCATATCATAGCAGCTCTATTCATAATAGCCAGAATCTGGAAACAACCTAGATGTCCCTCAGTTGAGGAATGGATATAGAAATTGTGGTGCTTTTCCATAATGTAAATGTACACATTTATGTTGAATACTTCTCAGCTATTAAAAACAAGAAAATAGTCTTAAATCTCATGGTTTCACCTAAAATTTAAAAGATTATTCCAGAATTAGAGATGTTCTTACCCTTCAGTGCTTTGAAGGACCTTCTACAGTCTTCTAGTTTGCTTTGTTTAGGAGGAAACATCTTCCTCATTCTTATCTCTCCCCCTCTGCACAAATTATACACTCAATGACTGCTTTTAAAATTTTCTTTTTATGACAAGACCTAAACAAAAATTTCACCAACAGATATAATAACATGGAAGGGGAGATTATCATAAAGCTCCAAGCCTAGATGAAGGACTATAGGCAAATAAGGATTCCTGGGAGCAGTAGGAAATAATCTTCTGCAGGGAAAAACAACCCCTCTTAACTGGTTATCCAACACCAAGTAGTCATCCCTGAAACCATGTACATACAAATAACATTATATGAAATGAACAGATAGTATTAGTATATGCTTAAATATATATTCAAATTCAACTAAAGAAAGGGAGTATTAATACATTTAAGTAAATATGTACATATATACTTAAATATATATACTTAAATGTATATATATGTATTTAAGTATATATACTTTAATATTTTTATATAAATTTATATAATATTTATATATAAATATTAGAGTATACATATTATATATAATATTTATATATACATATATATAATATTTCTATATACATATATATATATTATATGTGTATGTATATATATATATATATATATATAGAGAGAGAGAGAGAGAGAGAAAGGGGCCAGTATCTGTGAACTTGAGAAAGAGCAGGAGAAGGAGGTTAATAAGTATCACCAGTGGGATCTGGGAGAATGGAGCCAAGAAATGAGGCAGACTAATGCCTCATGCAATAGCCAACATAGAGAGCATTAGACAGTGTATACTCTGAAAGTTAAGAAAAATCACAGGAGCAGATTTATCAGGAGTTCAAGCTATTCATCAGGAGTTTTCCATAGAGGCATATAATGAATAGTTTAAACATTTAATTGAATGACAACAGCCAGCAGTAATGAGTAATCTGAAGTAAGCTCACTCCTATCTGCTACACCAAGGAGGGGAAACAAAATACTTTCCAAGAACAGTTCTGTGTTTGGAAGAAACTGAGATCACAAGACTCTTGTCTTGTTTTCTTCAAGAGTTCTCACAATTACTCAGAATTCTGCTCATAACTCCTCACATGATTCCATTCCATTCCTGGACTATGTTCTGACACATAAGAGGGTTGGAGGGGGAAAGGGTCAAATGATGTAATGATATTTTAATTTAAAATATTAAATTCTGTTTAAAGACTGTTGCTATGGAGCCACAGCCATACAGCTAGGTTAAGCCTTCCCACTTCTCTCAATTATTCTAAAACACATCTTTATTATTATTATTATTCTTTTAAAATCTTGTTCCTCCTCCGGAGTCTTTCTTGCTTTTGTGGACACTCTGTGCTTACTCTTCTGATGAAGTTGTCCCCTGACTCTTTCCTCCCCTTGGCCACTTACATGTAGTGTGGTATGGTTTTCTTTTTTCTTTTTCTCTATTGCCTTCTAACAGCTGCTGGGATTTTCAGTTTGCCTACCCACAACTTTTCCCTCTTAAACTGAAATAAATAAAATTGTCCCCTAGTTTCAAAACAAAAATTTACTTTATACCCTTTAAATAAGTTTTGATACATTTCAACCCTCCCTCTTGTTTTCAAAACAGAAAAATCGCAGTCATTTGATTTTACGAATAAAGACTCAGAAGCCAGACATTGGAGTGAAAACCTGGTAGCTCAGAGAGGAAGAGAAAGCACCTAGCTGAACTTCCTACTCAGAAGGAAAAAGCCCTTCCAACTCAATTCACTTTCCAGAAGGAAAAACAAAACAAAAACCTTCCTATTCAGCTTATGTCCCAGAAGTAAAAAAAAAAAATCTTTTCCTCCTCCTTCTCCATGATGTTCTAAATACCCTTCAACTCAATGTTCCTCCTTTCTGCTTCCTCAAGACTTCTCTCACTCACTGTTTTATTTTTTTTCCCTCCCCATGTCCACTTCCTCTCAATCTTGTTGCTTGCTCTGCCTCATGACCTAGGGTTAACTTTATTTAATCCTGTTTCCTGAAAGCTCTTGGGTTAAAGGTGTGTGCTAGGGCAGAGCAACGCCATTAAGTATTTGTTGACAGTAAAGAGAAAACTCTTGGAATAAGGTTGTGTTTTGGCTGAGCCACACCAAATCAGAAACAGGTTTTTTCAGTTCACACTCTTGACCTTTACCATATGATCAAATATCCTGCAACACATCCCTTCAAGGAATCTGTCTGTTCTCAATACATTTTTTTCTCCAGTGATTCAAACTGTGTACATTAATCATCAGGAAATCACCCCACAGCTTACTGATGCTGTTTCTGATTTCTAAGCTTTTCTCTGCTTATTTTTTCATTTGAGATTGTATCTATCACTACACAGCCATGTTCATCATGCTTCTGTAATTTCAAATTTACTATTAATCCTGTCTAGTGTAATTTTTATTCCAAATGGCGCTTGTGACATTTTACGGTTTCAATGTTTCTTTTTTTGATATCTATGTTTTTGCTTACCCTGTCTGGGATTTCCTGTAGTTCTAAGGCTCTTAGAATTTTTTTTCTAGCATTGTATGCTAATTTTATCATGTCTGTGTTAGTTTGAACTGATTCTTGCTGCCCTTAGTCCTGAGTACTTTACTGCAATGTAGGCATTGATTAGAAAAGGAGGAATTGCAACACACCTCTCTCAAGTTCTCTCCCTGTGTGTCTCTATACTCTGTGGTACTTTGCTGTTTATTATTGCTCCCTGGGCATCCTACAACCTCAGCTTTATCGTATTAACTCTTGGGAATCCACTCCATGAATTGTAGCCAAAAAGTTTTTTGCAGACAATAAGAAAGTTATCAGAAATTTGAACCCATCCATTTCAGGTTTTTCAGTGGTCATTTTCCTTCACTGACTGATGTCCAATTTCTAGAGAACCGTTACATATTATTTCATTCAGAGTTTTAGTATTTTGAACCAGAAAGCCAATTTCATCCATGTCTTTTAATTTTAGCAATCAGTAGCTATTAATTGGAATACTCATCTTTTTCTAGTTTATTTTTATAGATAGCAACAGTGACAGTATATGTATTTTACTTTATGAAAGATACTGATGACAAGAGGATGAAATGAAGAGTGTGTGGGCTCATTCCCTGAACTGCTCAGATTTATCTTCCAATGTAATTTTGGGTGAATGGTGACCCACAAAACAGTTCAAGGCCATATGGAAACCATCTAACCTAGAGAAATGTATCTTATATGTGATTCATGTAATATTTCCTCCTGAAAACCTATAATGCTTCTACAAAACACCGAGTTCGATATCCAACTCCTGATTTATAATGTCTTCTATGAGCTATGTGTGGTGGATGCTTATAATTTTTTTAAGATGTTATTATTTACACAATGTTTTGTCTACATGTACTCCTGTATGCCAGAAGAGGGCACCAGATCTCACTACAGATGGTTGTAAGCCATCATGTGGTTGTTGGGAATTGTACTCAT